ATATTCAATCCAGTATTTCAAGCATTCCATCATGAGGAAACGTAATTGGAAAATCCCTCATGATTTCTCTCGTCAATCTCGTTATTCAATCTCGTCCTTGTTTGCCGCGTCCACATATCAGATCGATAAAGTCCTGCCGTCTTCCATACTATTGCCACATGGTTATATGAAGGTAAAAGGATGGTTCAAAAGAAAATTTTGTCGTTTCAGCCATAGTCGATTGTCACTTGAAACATGATGCATCAATCTGGAGTATGCCAAGCCATCAGTCCTCATTCTCCTGCATTATTGACGTCATCCAAGGGACAAATCTAATGGAATTCCAAAATCAGAGCTGACATAGGGTGTATATTTCAACTCATAGCATGTACATGGCATAGAACCAAGAAATTCATCATTGTATGAGACCATATTTGGAGCGCTTGGTATCATGACTGTATTTAAAGGGAAACCCACAAAAGTAATGAGGTGTTTGCTTATTCTTAACAGCTATTTCTGCATGAGTTCCCATCGCACTACATATCGTATGGCAAGCAATTTAATAGCCTAGCTTCATTTCCTGGTCCTGAAAACAATGGGAACATTATACTAAGGTAACTGGAGCATGTGAAACTGTCAAGTGCTGGAACGCAATTCAACAATCGATTGAATGCAACTGATATTTTTTGCTGATGACAACTATTACGTGTGCGATAGGGACACATCTGAGAAATCTGAACGCGATTGATACCCGACTAGGCCATTAATACTATAGGAGGTCGTATTATTATGATTGGGAAAAGGCAGCAGGAGTGGCTAAAGGTTACGTCATCCTTAAGGAAACTACTACCTCAAAAGCTGACGTCAAACCATGCCTGTTGGGGACATTTCCCAATACCCTATCTGGCCTGAAGTCTTATTGGCAGCCTCGTTAGGTAACTGGGACGTTTTCTTTGATCACGGCAGTTACTCTCTTCCAAAATAAAGATGCACAATTTTCGCTTGGCTTAAATTGCTCTACTTTTTCGTTCATGGATCGCCATGAGAACACATACAATTTTTCCTCAAAATGCCTCATATCGCCATGTTAGGCTTTCATATATAAACTGGCATTCAACAACTGGCAACAAAAGTTCCATGCCGGGAAATGCTTTTTATTTCCCACTTTTCCAGAACATATTCTCAATTTGTTTATTCTGTGGCGAGTAGTTCATAAATACGATTTCAATCTTGTCAGCCACCATCATGGAGAAGAAAAGAGGTAACGTATTCCAAGGGGCACCTTAGTTTCTATGCAGCCGCTCATCAGCATTTAAACATATATGAATAGTTGCGTAATTTTTCATGATTTCTTTGCAGAAGGAATTTGTCAAAATTCTAGTACCAGAATGAGTAGGGGCTAATAGCATTTCTCACTTTCATTAGAAAATATATAGTTTTCAATGGAAAATGTTGAATGTTACGCCTTACTTAAGATTATTTATATCAAAGATGATACATAATATTCCGCTACCATATTTTTGCATATAACCGTATTCATTTTTTCTGATTCGCAAGGTGGTTCATGAAAATAAGGGAAAATGCAGGCTGTAAAACATTTACTATTGAGAACTATTGAGAACAGTGCCACATTTTATTTGGGGCGCTGATGCACGTCGCCAGCTGGAAACTACCGCATGTTCCAATATGGGACACAAAATTTGGGAAACAGAGTTAAATTAACCAACCCCCCTTTTTTTTTTACAATGAAATTTATTATTAATTATTAAGCGTGATGCCTTCATAGGACCCAACGACGAACATTTGAGCCCGAACCCTACTGAATCTTTCTATCAAACCCCGGTACATATGGTTCCCCATTCTCTAGCAACAGATGAACCAATCCTCCGATTCTCACCTTGACACTTTCGTAAAAACGAGTGAATGGACTCCAGGAACGCAGTGGCTCGCAATCCCCTCCACCTGCCAGCGGGATTTCGATGGATACGTCATGGGGCTACCCAACAGTCCCGCCCCACAAGCTCCTTCATGATCTAAGATGAATCACTTTCTTGTTTCAAATGGGCAGCATCGCGAATCGCAGGAAGGACACCTCATGTAGCAGGTAGCATTTCATTAGCAGTCGAGTGTTCAGTCTTATTTGAATACGATTCAATGTTACGTGCTACAATAGATATTACAAAATATATCCCACTATAATCAAAGGTGTTAGAGGAGTTGCCTGCACAGAAGACCTTGCCCGATGTGACCTGGTTGCCCATTGTAGTAATGTTATATTTGCCCACGGAAGAGACTGAGTTCCGAGGGCACTTCGAGACCACCATCTCTTGACTTGAACCATTGAAACCCCAGCTAGCCACCTGCAGCCAAATCAACATGGAAACGCTCCAGAGGAGGGGAAAAAAAATAAGCATTTTAAAATATACTAGGAGTGTCCGAAAAGTATGCGCAAGAAGCGGATGAAAACTAATCCTTTACATATCTATATATATAATAGATGCTTTAGTTACGTTTCTTTGTAGTTTGGATGGAGTGGGGAGTTTTACTAGGGACAACGTTAGATACGTGAAGACGTTAGGTCTTTCATAACATACAACTTGATAAAACATATCCCGACATAACTCTTGTGGCAGCTGTGTTACAGCATTTTAAAAGCATTCACTTCTGATGAAGCGTATTCCACGAGAGTGGTCCAATTGGCCAGCCTAACGATAGTCGCAAGTGGCTTCGTTTCGTTATGATGGGGGGCTGGAAACAATCCACTCTAAATTGACAATAACATGCATTGCTTTCAACGCAAGCTAAATCAAAATATGGACTTCTACTGAAGGGGTAGACAATCATCGCCCTCCAGATGGCATGGATTCATAGATTGCAACTGTGGTCATTTTTAAGCTAATGGAGGTATGAGATGTATGTGTAATTATTATTGCAGCCATAAAACAATGGCTTAGTTTGTCTTACATGTTTTTGGAACCGTTTTTGGACACTCCTTATATATGAAGTCCCATAACATTCTCACCCATCCTCGGTTTCCTTCCTTCAGGTTGACATTTGTGCGAAGTGGGAGACAAACTAGCTGAACCCGACGATTCAATTGCGCTGGCTTCCTTAGCTTTAACAAAGCTATGTCTGAGTCATAGTTGTCGGCATTGAAGTCATCATGCCAGATGATCTTTGACACCTGCGATGACAATAGCTCAATAATCAATAATCAGCAACCAAAATAGGTTAATACTGGTCAGCCACTTCTCACATTACTTTCATTTCCTCCATGAACTGATGATCTCTGGAGTCATTCCAATAAAGTTTCCCGAGACGGACAACGATTTCCCTGGGATACTGAAACTTATTGACGCATTGGGCTGAAGTGAGAACCCATTTCTTCCGAATGAGAGCACCTCCGCAACTGATCGACTGCTCTTCGACGTTGTAGATGACGACATGCCATGGCCACTCATCGAAGTCGGATGTCAACGTATCCGTTGTTGAATTGCCCGTGTCCAATGAATGTACCTCTCCCTTATTGCCGCATTTCGGAGGAATCTCCTGTGGGATTCTGAGCTTGCAACATATTTCCTCAGGGCGACAATCGTGGTGTCTTGACTGCATCGTTGTCCCGAGTATGCATGAAGAAGATTGGTTCCGATCGACGCATTCGTGTGGGCAAAGTCTACATCTTTTAAATAGCGTTACATCAAAGTCTGCAAAAGCAGTCCCATCTAAGCAGTACCCATCCGTCACACTTTTGAGGAGGACTGGATTGGAAATGAGCCATGCGAGGCTGCAGTCGCATCGAGTGGGGTTTCCTGGCGTACAAGAAAGGTATCAATTAAAGAATATCCAGAAAACGAGGGAAAAGACAAGGTAACGGCTTAGGTTGAAAATTCACCAAATAAACTGATATAGCCATTCCCCTTCGAAAGAACTTCCAGCATCGGCCGAAAGGCTTTTTCTTCTACACTGTCGATCTGGTTATTCCAGAGCTCAATGGATGTGTTCTTGGTAAGACCTGGAACAGAAACATATCTCTGGAATCTAATGTGCACGCTCTTTGAGAAGTGGCAATAGCTCGATAAAAGTTTAACATCTGGCAGTACGGAATTCAGCTGTTCGCCCTTTCACGCTGCTTTGGATATAGTCTGTGAGAACTATTACATGCTGCAATCATCACATATTCATAGTTTAATGTCACTTATGACAATCCACATATCATATTATCAATGGAAACTTATGTGCTTGGAATGCATGACCAGTACAGAAAAACCTTCTTGAAATATGCCACCTCTTAAGGAGAAAACTTACTTCAATTGTTTCATTGGCACTTTCTTTCCTCCCAATGAAACATTGAAGGCAAACTCACGATAAAACTGGACAGTATTATCCTTGAATAATGTGGAAGAGCCTTAAGTAATTCGCTTGTCTTTAATGCAGCATGCAGGTCAAATTACATTATTACTATGCTACCATCCGTACCTCATAACTATTGAGAAAAAAGACACATCCTGATGGCAGCCAGTTTTCGGGGAAAAAGACACGTATTAAGCACGGAGTTCCTAGCATACATAAAATTAACCACACCTGTGATAGCTCTTGGTTCCAGTCTTGAGATGGTGTTGAAAAAAAGACCCACTTCTCTTAAGACCGGGCTATGAAATTGGAATGTCCTCGATGGTAAAGTTGTCCCTAAATTGCACGATGGACACCAAAATACCTCCAGACTCTCCAAGTCCAAAAAGAAGTCGGAAGGAAGAGTCGATATGGGATTCCCACCTGTTACAAATGCAAATAATAAATTTAAAGCTATTTCAGATTGACGGAATCTTTCTAATNAATCCTACTTTTGAAATATGTCCCCTTAGGGGAGTATTTCAAAATGTATTCTCCACGCTTACAAAAAGGGACACAAGAAAATATTTCAAGTTAGGCACAATAGAAATCATAAGTAAAGATTTTGATAAAAATTAAGGCTTTTGTCCCCATATATCACGTATTTCAATGGGGACGTACTTGAAATACGTGTTTGCCATTTCGCAAGGAATAAATGAATTAATCACTATCCAAGGTAATGGTGCGCCGAAGGCGCAACCATAGCGAGTTTGTTTGCCCGAAGGGCAAACAAACTCGCTAGTATATATATATATCTACGAAATCAATGCAAAGAAACATCAAACCTACCTCACCCCTCAAAATGATCCCTGTTGCAATCTATGCACTTCTGCAATCCAGAAAGTATTGTATGTTGAACTATTTTGTATAGGGCTGTATGCTCTTGTGGCAGCTGTCTTACAGCATTTTAAAAGTATTCACTTCTGATGAAGCGTATTCCACGAAAGTGGTCCAATTGGCCAGCCTAACGATAGTCGCAAGTGGCTTTGTTTCGTTATGATGGGGGTTGGAAACAATCCACTCTAAATTGACAATAACATGCATTGCTTTCAACGCAAGCTAAATCAAAATATATTGACTTCTACTGAAGGGGTAGACAATCATCGCCCTCCAGATGGCATGGATTCATAGATTCCAACTGTGGTTATTTTTAAGCTAATGGAGGTATGAGATGTATGTGTAATTATTATTGCAGCCATAAAACAATGGCTTAGTTTGTCTTACATGTTTTTGGAACCGTTTTTGGACACTCCTTATATATGAAGTCCCATAACATTCTTACCCATCCTCGGTTTCCTTCCTTCAGGTTGACACTTGTGCGAAGTGGGAGACAAACTAGCTGAACCCGACGATTCAATTGCGCTGGCTTCCTTAGCTTTAACAAAGCTATGTCTGAGTCATAGTTGTCGGCATTGAAGTCATCATGCCAGATGATCTTTGACACCTGCGATGACAATAGCTCAATAATCAATAATCAGCAACCAAAATAGGTTAATACTGGTCAGCCACTTCTCACATTACTTTCATTTCCTCCATGAACTGATGATCTCTGGAGTCATTCCAATAAAGTTTCCCGAGACGGACAACGATTTCCCTGGGATACTGAAACTTATTGACGCATTGGGCTGAAGTGAGAACCCATTTCTTCCGAATGAGAGCACCTCCGCAACTGATCGACTGCTCTTCGACGTTGTAGATGACGACATGCCATGGCCATTCATCGAAGTCGGATGTCAGCGTATCCGTCGTTGAATTGCCCGTGTCCAATGAATGTACCTCTCCCTTATTGCCGCATTTCGGAGGAATCTCCTGTGGGATTCTGAGCTTGCAACATATTTCCTCAGGGCGACAATCGTGGTATCTTGACTGCATCGTTGTCCCGAGTGTGCATGAAGAAGATTGGTTCCGATCGACGCATTCGTATGGGCAAAGTCTACATCTTTTAAATAGCGTTCCATCAAAGTCTGCAAAAGCAGTCCCATCTAAGCAGTACCCATCCGTCACACTTTTGAGGAGGACTGGATTGGAAATGAGCCATGCGAGGCTGCAGTCGCATCGAGTGGGGTTTCCTGGCGTACAAGAAGGGTATCAATTAAAGAATATCCAGAAAACGAGGGAAAAGACAAGATAACGGCTTAGGTTGAAAATTCACCAAATAAACTGATATAGCCATTCCCCTTCGAAAGAACTTCCAGCATCGGCCGAAAGGCTTTTTCTTCTACACTGTCGATCTGGTTATTCCAGAGCTCAATGGATGTGTTCTTGGTAAGACCTGGAACAGAAACATATCTCTGGAATCTAATGTGCACGCTCTTTGAGAAGTGGCAATAGCTCGATAAAAGTTTAACATCTGGCAGTACGGAATTCAGCTGTTCGCCCTTTCACGCTGCTTTGGATATAGTCTGTGAGAACTATTACATGCTGCAATCATCACATATTCATAGTTTAATGTCACTTATGACAATCCACATATCATATTATCAATGGAAACTTATGTGCTTGGAATGCATGACCAGTACAGAAAAACCTTCTTGAAATATGCCACCTCTTAAGGAGAAAACTTACTTCAATTGTTTCATTGGCACTTTCTTTCCTCCCAATGAAACATTGAAGGCAAACTCACGATAAAACTGGACAGTATTATCCTTGAATAATGTGGAAGAGCCTTAAGTAATTCGCTTGTCTTTAATGCAGCATGCAGGTCAAATTACATTATTACTATGCTACCATCCGTACCTCATAACTATTGAGAAAAAAGACACATCCTGATGGCAGCCAGTTTTCGGGGAAAAAGACACGTATTAAGCACGGAGTTCCTAGCATACATAAAATTTTGGTGTGGACACTATCGAGAACCAAGGTCAGAACTCTACCACAACTTTTTTTCTGGGTGAAGAGAATTCTGGCCCGATACTTTAACCTTACAGGAGCTACCATTTCAACAGGGATTTAACGTGCTAGGACACCAAAATACCTCCAGACTCTCCAAGTCCAAAAAGAAGTCGGAAGGAAGAGTCGATATGGGATTCCCACCTGTTACAAATGCAAATAATAAATTTAAAGCTATTTCAGATTGACGGAATCTTTCTAATGCTCATTCCCGTTTTCCATTTCTTCCTTTTAGTATTAAGTAACATGTCCAAATAAATAGGTGAATTTCGTCATGTGTTTTTTTTAGAAAGAAGATTCCAAATGTCCAGTCACAATGTCAATCCGTCTCAACTTCACACGGTCATCAATCTCACCGTGGTGTATTGTATCCAATGCTCCATAGGAAGTCCATGATAATCTTATTACTCTGCAAAAACTTCTCATTTGGTGTCTACTTGGAATATTCAATGTCGACGGCAAAGGAAAACCTGTAGTGTAATATATGTGATTTGATTGTTTATTTGCAAATTGGAAAATTAAGTCTAGGAGGAGACCTTTTTTGCATTTTCTCCTTTAGATTACTTTAGGGTTGCCAACCTTATTTCCATATTTCATTTTATCGTAGCTCGAGATAGGCGACAGGAGTGTCACAATCCTCACTCTGGGCAGTCTGCAAGAGCTGTGACTGAAGAGAACGCTGCCAAGGTTGATTGCAAAAAAAAATCAGATGGACGGTTCTCCCGCATCTGTCATACATCACGAATCTGGCAGCCTCAATGTGTAATTCGCAAATGATTCTATGAGGCAGACAAGTTCTTTGCCGCGCTAGCATACAAAGCCTCGTTCAACAGTGACGAAAATGCATCGAAAGGGATGGAGACTACTTGAAGAAGTAACTGAAGGATCTCCAATGAAGTATGCATTCTCTTTGAAATTTGAGTTCTTGAACAATTAAAAGAAAACATATAAGTCATCTATTTTTGGGGTAACCCTCGTATTTTCTTAGACATCGTGACCTCCGATTCTTCCCTTTCCAATTAGCATCAAGTCAGTATTTACTGACCTTCCTATGTGCGAACTTCCCCGAATGTCAAATCGGGAGAGAAGCGATGATTATTTTTCCTAAATCCTTCCAATATAAATTATCCCAAACGAGAAGTCTGTGCTGAAGGAAAATGAATTATCTTTCTTTGAGGGAAGGAATAATGCCATGATAATATCCATGTAGGCATCATCGACGATAATATCTATTAACGTGCATCTGGACGAAGTCAATATTGTCACGGCTCTAAATCACGATTTTTTTCTTTATCGAAAGATCGTGCTGGCCCATAATTCGTGCAAAAACACGGATGATTTTAAAGAATATGAATTCGAGCGTGGCAAAAGGGGGAGATGAGGGGGGGGGGCATTCGCCAACCCCAGCCTCCCATGGATCCGCCAAAGGCTGGCCAAGTCAGAAGACGGGGAGCGGCAAAAACATCATTAATTTCTGGAAAGTCTGCCCCTGCGCTTCGATAATCGTCATGGCAAAGGCAGGACGGAGGGGAAGCTGACGTCGAGCGAAGACAAAGGATAACCCGAAGGTGAAGAGCTCAGCTTTGAATCGTCTCTTCGTTGGACTATGTAGTAAGTGAGGATTTATTACCGGTCTCACGCTGCTTTGCGGACAGCGCAACTGGCCGCGCACGTTTCCGAACGTTAGTGGTCAAAGGCCACTAACGTCCACTTGCTTTCACAATAATGTTGACCTACGTCAACATGTTTTCTCGGTAAGAGAGCAGCTCAGGATACGCCGCTAGGGTATATTGACCTCTGACTTGTACGTACAGCTTCCGCCACTAGATTTCGCTAGTGAACACCGGTTTTATGTGAATATCAGAAGTATAGGGAATGAAATGCTAAGTCTCTAAGTCTCTAGCTCGGAATAGAATTAATATAAAAGCCCTTTAATAAACCTAGTCTCGAAGAGAACCAAATAATGCCCAAATTCCTGCTCAGCGTGTGGGCACGACGAACGATTGTCTCACAATCATTCGCAGGCGAGTCCTGGCGAGGACACCCGGGAAGCACGCATGGAAAATCGGATCATTCGGCCTTCCCTCCCTCAACCTTACGACGAGGAGTCCTCTATCAAGTGTCACAGAGGCTTGACCTCAGTCCAGAAATACGATTGGGACAATCTCCTTGATATTCAAGCAGTCTAATGTCCTGGATACGGTCGTGACAGCTGGCCCGGAAACAGGTTCGACCATAAGCCCTGAAAGTCCGGTCAGAATATATTTCTCTGTAGTCGGGCTCGTCCTCAGAAGCTGTCGAGTGAGCAACCAGAAAAAATATTATCTGGCTTGGGCTAATTTTGCCTGGTAACCAACCCAGACTTCAGCTCATTATCTTCTTAGCCCTCCCCCACCCACTTCCACCAGCGCAGTTCGTGTGGAGACGGTGAGGATATCTACCACGGCCACCGCCGATCCAGTACCACCAGCTCGACTACCAACTACAGTATACCAGCCTTCGAGCCCCATGCCCCAGTCCAAACCTCCTCCACCTCGTCGGACGACCTAGCAATGACCAGGGGCCTATTTAATGAAATTTACAACTTCCGCAAGTTACAAGTTGCAAGTAATTACAAGGGTCGTGTCGTAGTTGTACGAAAGGTCAGCGTGACCAGCTGGAAGAGTTAAAGAAGGAGACACGACCATTGCGAAAGTTGAATACTTGTAACTTGTAGAACTTGTAGAACTAGAGTTTCATGAAACAGGCTCCTGGATTGGTGGGATTGTGAATGAATGAGAAATACATGTTTCATTAGATTGTCTACAAATCTATCATTCCCTCTCATAAGTTCCACCCGGACCCACCATGTCCCGAACCTACGATACCATTAATCGGCCAAGGAAGGTCAGCTGAGGCTGACACCGGGTACCCAGCCGGCGATAGATGCAATATTCAATATGGTCATTAAAGCCTTCCATTAATCCCGCGGGATTAATATTCGGAACCCAACGGTCTGCAACCTCGTAGTATCGTAACAATATTACTATGGCTATGGGAGAGCGCTGTGCGCACGCGTATTTGCGCGCGCATGCCACCGACCACCACCACAGACCTCAGTAGATTTTATTATGTAGATAATATATTCCCTGATTGCCGTGATTTTGAGACATTGACTCCGCTGACACCGTCATTGGATTTGTGTGCTAGTAGGGCAATACACATGGTGGAAGAAAGCCGCTTGAAGTGTTATCTTATGGATCAACTGTGGCTAAAATGCGTCAATGTAACGTAAAGGGTTACGCATTGGGCTGTACATATGACCTGAGTATCTTTGACTTGGAATAAAGTGACTCAGGACCGAATGCCGGTACTTCCATGAAATAAAAGTACTATGTTCATCGTGGATTCCTATATAAAGCTGAGCTCTTCAGCTTGACCATTGCATCAGGCTCACTCATGTGGACACATCTCATGAATACACTTCTGCCTGTAAGCTGCTTGGAATAAGTACAACACAACTGCGATTTCTAAATGTAAATGCTTAAATTCCATATTACATGGACACTATGTTCTTGTGTAAGTTTTCCTACTCCAGCAATGACTTTCTTAATTTTGCAGAAAAGTAGGCATATTCAAAGGAATGATCAAAGGTACTTATTCATTTCGCTTTTTGGAAATGACAGAATTAGGGGGTTAAGTCTTCGACTGTCTCAGCCCCGTGATATCCCAGAGGCAATCTCCGTAAACAAGCATGTAAGAGCGGCAGAACAAACGTTCCCTTAGTGTCCGATTAACCAGAAAATATTTGGTGTAACTCCATTTGCTTCAATCACTTTGGACAGTTTCCCTGCTTCTCTATTCAATATTGGTATATTTTCAATCGCATGAGATGACATTGGGTTATTGTTTATTTAGGGGTATGCCGGAACCACTGTCAAATTCGCACTTTCGAGAGTTTTTCCAGCGGGATAGTGGTGCCTATGAAGCGACTTATTGATTTCTCCAAACAAGCAGAAGCCATAGGGACAATATCTGGAGAGTGACGGAGATGCGGCAGCTCATCAAATAGTTTATTGCTTCGAAGAAGTCCCTAAGAACTTGAGCTTGGGTTGGAGAAGCATTGTCCTGATGGAGGTTGGCTCTTGAACAAGGCATAGTTTGGTCATTTTCTGATTGGTAAAAGGAGTTCGCTGGCTAGTAGGTCTTTGGAACAATGCCCAGTAATTGGAAAGCCAGAAGGTACAGGATGAATTTCATGTCTTAAAAAATGGCATAATGAGTCTTGGAAGCACAGGCTCCAGTCTTCAATTTCTTGGGTGGAGGAGAATCAGCATTATTCCGAGCTCAAATTTTCATGTCAGATTTGTAGCGACTTCCTTTTCCTTTTATCGATTAAATGATTGCGGCACTCAGCTCAATCTCTAAATCTTGCCCTCAGTGACTTCTGGTACTATCAGTATTGCATAGTGAAGTAGGGGGGCTCAGTTGCACAGTGAATAGCTCAAATTGGAGTTTCGCCAAATATTTTTCGCTTCATTTGAATAATATGAATACATTTTGACTGCCCCTCGAATATTGCGCTTTTTAAGAATCGATGGTTGCTGCATGAGGTGTGACTCAGAGAGAAACTTGACCGATGATATGAGTTGCAAAAGTTTTCGCCTTGCGACATGGCTTCCACAAGGCATCTATGTGTAAGGTGATATATATTCGTATTGATGCTTGTCTTAAACTCTTCTGTGCCTAATCTCTTCTATGATTGCAAAACACATAGTATTTCTTCAAAGGCGAGATGAGAGAAAAGTATTGTCAATCCCTTCCCAACTACTTGTGGTATTCCTTAACACGTGAACCCGTATCAGTGGAAACCTACATATTCATTGTTGAGACATAATATAAGCAGTGTGATCTGAATGAAAACCTCGTGTGGGCTTGTCAACCGATAGTGGTCCTGGACCTTGAACATCACGACTGCGCTACGATGTTTACCTTTTCTTAGATGATACATAAAAGTCTATAAATGATGGAAAAGCAAATGAAAAGCAGGAAACGAAGGGCGTCGACATTGCCAAGTCATAATTTCATAGTTTATCCTTTCGTTGCGTTTCCTTGCTGCAATCTCCGTGATTTTACGTGGAAATGTCACTTATGCATTTCTCATTGGTCGGTTCTAATGATATGGCAGCCAAATTTAAAGATGCCGTGAAAAAGCAGCATGCCTCCTGGCAAGATGCTCTATTTTGTGTGTAATTAAAACCGAGGCATACATGTCATTCTGGTTATGAGACTCACCGATGTTTAGGCTCTTCAAGTTGGGCATATTCAAGTTTCCCTGAAATGTGGCTATTTGGTTGTCATACAGGTAGAGCTCCTTTAGACTCTCGCTTTCAAGGGGTGGCACCGTCTTCAAGGCATTCCCATGGAGATCCAGGATCTTCAGGTTGGTTAATTCAGGGAGGACGGTGAATGGGAAGTCCTCCAGGCGACTGTTCCATATGTTCAAGGATTGAAGCCTCTCTCTAGATGAGTTCAAGGTCGAGGGATGGATGGTTCTGATCGTTGTCTTGTATGTATATATCCTCTGGAAGGTGATATTGCCAAATATGCCATGTGAAAGGTCAAGCACTGCCTTGCTTTCGCTGAGCCTGAACTTCCTGAATAGGTAAAAAAATAGTTTGAGAAATGAGGATACCTTTGACACATGACGGGAGGGTTATTTTCTGTGCACAGAAGTTTGGATGCTTTTATTTCAAGTAAAGGAGGGTAATGAATAGATTCTCGCCACGTGGTCAGTTTTTTTGCATGGGAAAGAGCATCCGCTAATAAAAAAGTATGTGATATTAAAAAAATGCATTTATTTATTTGGCATAAAATTGCTGTAATTATTGGCCATGCTATTGACCTCGATCAAACTCGATCACGCAATTTGTAATGACCTTTTGCGATCTAATTCTAATTGATCTAGCGAGAGCTAATTTTCGGCATATCAATGGTCTTTAAATGAAACCCCACAGTCAGATGACGAGTGGAGTCAGGTCCGGGGACCTGGAAGGTCATTCAATAGGTCCGACTCGACCTATTGAATAGCACCTGTCTTCAAAGCAAAATGACACTTCACTTCGGAAGATTTCCTTCTCATATAAAGGATAAATTAACCTTGTTGACGCCATCCTTGAGGCCGATTGGGCTCGTTGTGATACATTTCTCTAGGTGTGTGGTTTCTGATTACGTGTTTCGTGCCAATTCATACCAGAATTGTATCGTTTTAGTTCATTCCTGGCAACTGATGAGCAAAACCTTCAACGAAACTTGAGAGCTATGCATGAAATGCCAGAAAACAGTATGGTTTTCGCCCAGCGTTGCCCCGTTGCGATTTTATTTGGTAGATTTTGGTCATCAACATATTTTCTTCCAGTCAATCCTGAAAAAAAAGCTTCCAATTTACTTCGTCATCGTTTTTTTTGCACTCATATGCTTTTGCGTCAAGCTGTCTCAAATCGAGGTGTGCATTGCGCAAGAACTACCACATGAAAGTCAATTTTGTCATTTTCGTCCTGTTTCTAAGTTGCAACGCTTTTAAAGACTAGAGTAAGATAACATTGCGCAATATTTTAACCCATGAATTTGATGAGCTGCCTTCATCGACGCATTTGAATCTTAAATGACATGTTAATATATTCTCCTGATTTACAATATATATACGAAGTTTCGCCATTCCACGCATTCATATCCTGACTTTTCTTACCAAGGTTCTAGATGGACGCCATTCAAAAAGGTATTCATTCGCACCTGCATTTCCTGTGGCAAAACGTTGGTGCACTCAAAGGATGGTTTCCTTCGAAATGTCACTGACACATCTCTGGTGCAAGGAAGTACACGTGCCTCATTCGCCCCAGGCAATCAACTCATCAAAATTACCTTATGTTCATGGGTATATACATCATCAGACATTCCCGCACATTCACAAGAGACAAAAATAAAGACCCCCATGCATGCAAGGCAAGTCGCCCTGGTCCCATTTCTTCAATTACAGATGAAGACGCGGCTGACGTCAAACAATATTAACAGTTGCTGTTTTCCCCTAAAACATCAAACGCCTAACCTCAGACGTTGAAATAGGGCTACTAGAAGTAATAGAGAAGAGACTTTGAACGAATTAGTCTCGGAAAATCTGTCGTTTCGGGAAAATAACTGATTCCCTGACTGCCGTAATTTCCTAAGTAAAATGGATATTCATGGTCCTGCATATTCACCTTGGATATGCACTGGATCACATTTAGTTCTGAGTAGAAATCTTTTCATTGTGTTTCCACTCGTTGACACTAAGACCATGCTTGCTTGAGCAATCTTGTATTTTACTTATCTTTTAGACAAGTACATTTACGCGAAATGTTTCATATTTATTAGGAAGTCAGTTCTTCTGGATGAAGACCCGACACGATGATCATGTCCTTATCGGACGGTTGAGAATCCGAATGCATGGAAAGTCTTTACTCACATGAGTTCAGTCGAAGACCACGAAGCATTATTGAAGGTGTCGAAGATACTTGCAGTCGTTTCTGCGTCCGAGCAATCCACAGTGCCATTTTCCGACTCCTCGAAATCAGAGCAGGTGCATGGTGAAATGTATTGAGGCTCAGGGCATAGCCCCTGTAATGTCACAAAATTCACCCAAGTGGAAAATAGAATGCAGTCCAGTATTGGGAATATTCGCATCATCAAGCGTGCTCGCTGAATAGAATGCACCAAAGACGATGTGTTCCGTCGATTTCAGGAGGATTTCAATCAGCCCAATGTGACCTAATTCCACTCCATTTCGTGAAAAGGCAAAATCATTGATTTGAGGAAAGGAGTTACTATGTTTGTTGTTCATGAACGTAACGTGGTATGCATCAATTGAGTCATTAGATTCTAAAGACAGAGGAATGCATTAATCTAATTATACTAGCAAAGCCACTCTCTCCTTTGCCGGATGTTCATACAAATATGCTGATGAGACGATCGGAGTAAAATCGGTCTGGAGACTGTTCTCAGTATATCCTGATTTCCATGTACTCACATTTTGAAGGAAAAAAATATCCCATCATAACTTTCAACTGAATGAAAACAGTGAGTCTTCAGCAATTCCTGAATTCGAGAAAAACTATCCATGGGAGGAGCAAAACATACATGAAAGGAAAAAAAAGTTTTGAAAAAAGTTTATGCTCTTTTAATAGTTGCTGTAGCGAAATTAACACTGTTTACGGTGGTATGTGTAATGGTGTCATTAAAAATGTATGAAAAATAATCTGGCCCAAACGGAATATGAGCAGCACTGCAAAATTATTTGGATTTTGGATGTTGCAACCTTTTCCTATATGTTCCCTTATTTTCCCGTTTCTAATCGGAAACTAATAAATGTCTCGGTCGATTTTTTCAGTGTATAACATGAAGGAACGCTTACATTTTATGACTTCATATGTTTCCATTTGATAATGAAATGAATTTGTCAGTTGCGGTTTGTGAAGCTAACTTGAACATGTGAACATGATTGAACCTTTAAGAATATGCGGTAGTAACACAGTAGGTTGTCAAACTATTACAGTGGAATGCTTCTTTTGTAGGAGCCTATCAACATCCGGAATTCGTAGAATTTGTGATATCTTACTCCATTCATAAACGAAGCAATTCAAACATCGAATCAGTCACGAGCACAAAATCCACCCGTCCTGTGGCGAGGAAGACACAAAATCACAAAATGACTGATATGAGTCACTTTCCTGTGTCCTTGTATCATTTTCCCCATGTGTCATCCATTCATCACCCATCCATTTCGTCAGTGGACCCAATAACAGGATGAATGGGTGATACTAGAAAAAAATACGATTAAAAATCGTAACTTGACGGATCCTGCATGGAACTCCAAAATCAGGAACTTTTAGCTTTACTTCCATTTCATGCATTAGATATTACTTGCGAAAATTTATTTTTTCTGTCACTTGTTACAACTCGGGCGAAGTTTGCAACTTACAAAATATGCCACCAAGAAAAGCGTGTTATGGCTTATATGAAAGTTCTGATTTAGTAAAAGTCAATTATTAATACGAAAATAAGAGGTGCATAAAACTTGAGTAGCTTAAATGTTTCAAAATGCAGTCAATTTTTTAGATGTTTATCACCCAATTGTCTGCTGTAGAAGTCAGCATAACGAAGCCAACATTTAAGTGCTGAGAGACAACCTCTGGCATAGTTTTCTGATAATGTATTACTTAGCTTTCGTCATTCACATTTCGTCACACAAAAAATGAAAGGTGAATATCTCAGCTTTGTGATTTTAGCAAACTTTTATTCCATTCCATGGTCAAGATATAAATATACATGATACGTCATAAGAAAGAGCAATCGAAAAACTATTTGACGACATGCGTTTCGTTGTGTTACAGTCTCGTATCGAAAAGTTACTAATACTTCTAGGACCGTCCAGAACCAACCCCCGATGTCAGCCTCCGTTACACATACTGACGCTCTCGTTACGCCTTCTGGTGTGCGAAAGGACAGGTTTGAACGCCTCCTCAAAAAGGAAGAATGCCACTCTTTATCCGGTCGGCAGTCAAGGAATGGGTTTTCTCTGACCGTTGCATTCAGAAAGCATTTGACACTGTCCTGGACGTTCTTCGGCCTCCTAGGAAATCCCATTCTCTAGAGGGACACAATGTAATGCACTTGCATCTACTCCTCCTGGCTCGTCAAATTGAGCTTCACCCTCTTGGAGCATTGTCGTCTACATCAAGACGAAGATTTAGAGTCGTTCTCGGCACGGATATTTTAGAGGCAGCAGACCGTGTGGAGTAGGCACAACGAACTGCCCTCACTGTAGTTGTCATCGCTTCATCGGTATACTTCTTAGCGAATGGTGTTTTTGGTGTCTCAGCCGGCAGCAATAAAAAGACCAAATTAACTAGCACTGTAATGCACTCATGTGTCTGAGATGTAGTAATTTGAAATTCCCAGGGACTATGGCTTTGACATTACGGAGGTATAACATGATAAAATGATCTCTTTGGATTTTGGAGATATGTTTTGAAATTTGTCACAATATAAGTAATGAAAGCAGTTAGACGTGAACAGTAAACATTCTCACTGAAAAGAAAATAAGATAAAACATAAAAATGAAGAACTACAGGCCTGCATATACTGGAAGTAATGATGAGAAAAAGAAGCAAGTAAAGAAGTGAGAGGCTGCAGAAGATGAAGTTGGGGATGATATCTCCTTGCAGTCGGAGTTATAAGGAGAGTCGGATGAAGAATCCGTGTGTAAGTGAAGTGGCGAACAATGATTCGGAATCGAAACTCGAATGCCTTTTTATACCGCCGGCTGGGCGGATATTGGGGTGGAAGAGACTGGGGGAGAATGGGGGAGGGAGAAGAGGGGCATGAATCAGTCGCAAGGATGTTCCAAAGGCACGTGTTACACTATCGCACTAATATAAGTATGGCTAACATCATTCTTCTCAGCCAGTTTTTTCCTTGTGGCCAGTAACTTCATCGATATCCTCTGATATTCCTAGACAGAGTTTCACCACAATTAAGGAATAATTTGGATCAGAACTTGTCGTTCATTTAAAATGGAAAAGAAACATTCGAAAAACTCACCTGTTGTATGAACGCTTTCCAGTAAAATAATTTGATGAATCCGGGCGATAGCTTTGTACGACCGTTAAGGAAGCATGCCGGTTAAGCATGCCTTCCGGTAGAAACGGTGGCACGACTCCCATAGGTAACACATTTCGTGTGCCCATTAGGAAATACGAATAATCGGTCGTCGTATAGAAAGATGTTGATAGAATGCGTAGAAACAACCAGATGAACTAAATATGCTAGATTTGAGCCTCACTGGCCAAGAACTAGAGACCGGCGTATAACTAGGGTTTTTTACTCTAGTTTGGGAGGTATGACAATTGCCAAGGTATCAAACGCGCCAAAAAAAAATTTTTCGAATCAAATACATAATTTACCTTTAGGAAGAATAATACACAAGTTCAGGATTCAAGTGAATCATGTAAGTTCTCTTAACTCTGAATTAAAAAAAAATTCTCAGACGATCTATGGCTAAATGCCTTAATAATATGGTCAGTTAGCATGGAATTTCCCTAATTGCAATGCGTTAGTCAAAGAAAGTCAACTACTTCATTTCCGTATGATCATTGATGAGGGGGTCCAACTTGCTCCCAATTTATGAGACAGGAGGGAACCATTGACGCGTTTTTATGTGCAATTATATATGAGGTATTTCAGACTTTCCATTGAAATGTACTCATATTTAATTTAAACATAGGAAGGCATGTGGTGATTTCATCAGTCCAAGGTGATGCAAGTTTTCTAATAGTTGAAGCATTTACACCATATGAAAGTTGGGCTATTATATTAAAAAAGGAGATACCATCTACTGCAGGCAACAAATAGAGAGGCTGGCCTTCTCGCCCAATAGACAGCATTACCTGTGGGGGACCTCCCTCGGGCTGCACTACCAATTACTACTTAATATTAATAAGGCACTACTCTCAGACTAAGTCACAGAAAAAGTGGGCATATAGCTCGTAGGAATGGTGAGGTAACACTCCTTTTAGGTTCAACGTAACAATTTGTGATGGATCTCCAAAAAATGTCCATTTAATTAAGAAAAGGGTATTGCAAATAAAGTCCCAATGCCCTTTCTGGTGTTATATCCTTCAAGGCAGTGGAAAGACACCACAATCTGTCGTTTATTTAATTTGTTGTACATTATTTTGAGAGAAAAAGTCGCGAACATATTTTTCCATGAAGAAAGCTTACACATCCAGTACAATGTACTGTATATTAACCAGTTCAATATTCATATTGAAATGGAAATGGAAATCCACATTGTTTCAGTACATTGTACATTGTACTCATGAGTAAAATTCATATTAAGCTTCAGGCAGTCCGGCACCTAGAAGCGACTGGGGTATAGTGGGACACCAGGAACAGTGTCACAATAGAGTTTTTGGTGCCAGGAAGTAGATGGAGAAGTAGGCAAATCTATTGCAAGTGCCTTCGTATCACCCTATGTATTTGTACGAGATTTGATAGCGATAATGCAGCTGGGTGGAAATAACACGTGGTATACTAATTTTCTATCTCTCCACAAAATCATTTGCTCGATAAAATAATTCATTCCCATCAAAAGGTGTTACTAAATTCGTATCCTTCATGTCATAGGCAGTGCTTAGGTTTCATTCAAGTTCATTCATCTCTTTTTTACCAGATTGCTTGAGTGATTCTTGGCCATTAAATAAGGGCTTTAATAATAGTGCAATGGAACAGTTGCTCATGGGATAGATAAACTGGGACATAACCCTGTCTAAATGGACCGCATATTGTTACATTTACCGATTAATTCCCTCCTTTTAGATTTTTCAAAATGAACTGAGTGAAATGAGTAGGTAGATCAAGAAAAGAAACAGACACCATAAAAGTTGGAATCGAAGCAGATTTCTTCAAAATAAACAAAACCAAAAAAGCCTACGCAGTTCAATTCTGACTGACAGCAAAAGGGAAAAAAAAATTTTCAATGCAGTTTGTGGTGTTTATTTATTAAATCAGGGACTGTCCAACATTACCCCATAACCTATCCCACGATGCAGTTCGATTCTTTGACAGCCTTTTAAATCTCACTTTTCAACAGGAAACGGTCACTTTAATGAAGAGAGTCCTGACGTTTATTGCAGCTAGGAATGTCTTCTAGGAAACGACATGCATCCCAAAAAAACGTTCCATATATATATTTCTGCACACGTCCATCACTAGCCACTCGTCGTTGTTCTTGGTACTCTTCACTTCATTGGGTCAGGCTTTACCATTTCACCTGACATGAAAGAACACAATTCGATTGAGCATGGAAAAAATTGACCAGATTATCTTCTGGTTATTCTCGTGTTTATAAGGAAAAGGTAACAACCTTTAAATTTGTAGATGTGACGAATCACTAAAGAAATTAACATGACATTCTTGAATTCAGACCTTTGGACTTTCTCATGCGTACGTTAAGTCGCATTTACTTAGCGTTCCTACCCCAGAAGAAAAACCGACGAAAATCTACCCTCTTACTCTAGGTATCAAGGGATATCCGTTAATGTCGCGACGCATTTCTAATCATCGTGCCTCCCATTTCCTTCCTTTCAGAGCCAGACTGGAATTTATCTTCCGATTTTCACATCCGGAACAGCAACAAAACAATATATATCTATGAATTGGGTTCGTGTATGAATGCTTACGCGCTTTGCATCTGAAAAAAATTAGTTAAATTGTCTTTCAATATGTTTAGAAGCTTGTGCCTAAAACGTTCCCTTTGTCTGTATACCGAGTGACATGTTAAAAGCATATTAAATTTAATTATATGCGGATAGAGGATCTAATATATTAGATACATAGATAATCAAGACTGAATTACTAACGCTAATTCTAAGCATGTTCTACATTTGGTAGAAACCTGAAACTCGGCACATTATTACTCTTCGGCATTCCGACTTCAGAATGACACCCACTTTAGAAGGGGATGCTTTCAAATGAATATTTTTACTTCAGTCGAACGAAGACTCATGGAAAGCAAGAAATTTGCAGAAATTTGCCTACTGAGTTACACAGTTCAGAAAAAAAAAAACTTTTGAGATACATCTCTTGGGAGTATATTTTACCAGCGCTCTCGCAGGAGGGTTTCATCAGGACTGGCGGGACCCCTGATGTACCCACCATCAGGGAGAGGGGCCAGTCCCCGCATTAGCTTCAATTCTTTAAAAAAATTAATGAAATAATGTAATGTCATTCAAAAGTAGTTTTAAAACAACGCGTTCGTGGATCTAATTCCCTGGTTCTTAGTCCTGAGGTCGGAATAAGGACACAAGGAATTGATTTAGTTTAATAACCATGGACACCAATGGATGGACCTTTCCCTGAAAAGTATAATAATTAGTACTATAATTAGGTTGCCGCAGAAAAAGCGAATATACATGGAGTGTCACATGCATGTACCTCGTTCGTCCTATGCTTGCTCATGTACAGTAAATACCCATCGGAACATGTTCAATGAACGTTTCATTCAAGTTATTGTCAGCGTTCCACCAACGTCCTTGAAACGCTCTATTGACTGCTTTAATGTCCAAAATTCAAAGCAATGCGAAATATTTGAAAGTATGCGTTCCCTGAACTACTTGAATATGATATTTCCATGGAAAGGGTGCAATAAAACATAATTTTTTAGGATTTATTTGATATTAACGTTTTGGATACGTTCTTTTCATCAATTAAATTACGTTCAGCCTAAGAAGAGCCCTGCTTCCGTGGCTGGAGTCAAAGGCCATAGGGTAGCCGATTAGTAGGATTGAAGATACTACCTCAAATTGTCTCGGATAGTCTGGTGAAGAAGCATGGGCATTTCAGTCTCACAACATAACTTTTCATCTAACCTGCAGGTGTCTGATATTCAGGAATCAGACATCCCCTCCACCGAACTCCCATTTTCATGAGAGAGATGGTAAACAATAACATGACTTCCCATGAATTCACTAAGGAAACTGAACTATCCAACCCTCTGTCTTTCCGGCCAAAGTTTTCTGGAGACTCCTTAGACTGGGTTATCTATAAAGACCGATTTGTTCAAGAATTCAAGTATCTTCCGCTCTGGTTTATGTGATCGGCTACATTGTGGAAAGTATTGAGAACTAATTCCAGCTGCATCAAGAATTGACTCGCTGTAGCGAGTACTTTGGTGCCATCTAGCATTCGGTGTGCGAAGCTTTGCTTCAAGCCATTGTCAAGTGGACACCGTTGATCTGCTTGAGGAAACCATCTCAAACGTTTGATGAATGCCCTCAAAATGTGGCATGTTTCGTGATCAAAAGGCACCTTGACTGAGTGCCAAAAAGGTGTTTATCTCCATATATATTCCATGCTTGGGTGTCTGTATGTCCGCAAGCGCCATGTGCGAATGCGAGGCGCATTCGTGAGACAATCTCTTTTAAAGTTGGCGTATGGTCTATCTTTTAATAAATCACAGGGGAAAACATTGGACACAGTTGTGTTGAATTTACGGAATGACTTTTTTCTCGTGGGCAACTGTATGCAGCAACAGGTAGATTTAGAAAAAGAGTCCCGGACTGTAATCGGAACTAAAAGAAACTTCTCCCCTTATTCCATGCTTGGGCCTCTGTGTGTGTCCCATAGAGTGTTATAATGGAGGGACCACCCCTGTGGCCACGAGACACTGTGCTCTTCCAGGCGAGGCCGCCATCTTACTGAAGTCGCACGAGCAAGGAGTTCATGGCAGACACATGGAGAGGGGGAGGGCAAAGGAGCCAACTTTCCCCGAGCTATCTGCCTGGGGGCCTCCACGCCGGGACCCAAACAATCATGCTATTCGTTCCCATGTGCGAGAACTTCACCATGATAGCGGAAGCACTTGTAAGTCTCATAGGCATGCGAGGGCCTCTACAGAGAATATACACGGTATCCACTCCATGGTGTGTCCGCATTCATGTGCCCATAGATGCACCGCCTTCTGCTATGCCTCCGTTTATCCCTCCGGACGTTCTCCCTCTTTTAGGGCTAGAACTTTTTTTCACTGCCCATGCGACTGTCGGATCATATCCTCCAGGACGCAATGCCCGGGGAAGGGGGGTACGAAGAAGAATAAATAAAAGCTTCAAGGGAGGGAAGCGAACCCGGAATCTCTCGATAAGCCGGCCGAGCGCGCTACCATTACACCACTGAACCCCTACCGTCCAGTCGTATGCCGCCGTGCCATCCTTAACGCTACAACGAAAGAAAGAAACATTCTACGCACACCCCCCGCTCCCTATTCCCTACTTAGGGGGCCCGATGCGGACTTTTCCGCAGAGACGTGTAAAACGTCTCTGCGGAATTGAAACTTTGCATGAATGTGACTACCAAGACAATGAGTTAGATGAAAATGTTTAGTACATACGTACATATACATCCCCTGGGGGAATTTTTTTCAAGGGGCGATGTTTTTAAAAAAAAATTGTCGTGGCGAATTGGACAGAAATGGAAAGGTGAAACTTGCCACACGTATAAATGACAATATTACTGAGTTGAGGGGGTATAAAGTTTTCATGGAGCGTCCCCTCCGGGCATGGCTTTTGGGTGGGTCGGCTTTTCCAAGCATGTCCATTCACCAGCGAAAAGGGCAAACCTCTAATATTGAAACTTTGTAGGCATGTAGTTCACCGGGCAAACATAGAAAGTAGCTGGCGCACGCATCAATGACGTGATGTTGATTTAAGGGAAAATTAACCTTTTTTGATACGTCTCCTCAGAGCACATCTTTTGGTTGGGTCGCTTTTTTTCAGCCAGCAAAAAAAGGAAAAACGTATAAGGCTGATACTGGGTAGCATGGAGTTCCCTGAGTCTACATTTCAGAAGAAAAAAATAAATTTGTTAAAACCCATCAGGGGACTTTTTTTTAAGTCCTATTTTCCAACGAAACAGAGACAGAAAATTTTAACTTCCTTGAAAAGTACCTTTTTGTTGGCTGAGTACAAGAAAAATCCTAATTTTGAAATATGTCACCTTAGCATAGATTATTGGAGTGAAGTATTTCAAAATGTATTCTTCACCCATACAAAAAGGGGACAAAAGAAAAGATTTCTCACATAGAATCATAGACGTAATGATTTTGATAAAAATCAAGGCTTTTGACCCCATATGTCACATATTTCAATGGGGACGTACATTAAATACGTGTTTCCCATTTCGCAAGGAATGAATGAATTAATCACTATCCAAGGTAATAGAGCGCCGAAGACGCGACCATAGCTAAACTAAGTTCACTAGTATATAATACGCAGTTTACGAATCACCTAACCATGAAGGAAAAAATAATGTGATGGCGGGAGTGGTCTCATTGATTGTCATTGTCTAGAACCTTGCACAAAAAATGTGTTAATTGATTAATTAATTTACAAGTTAATTAATTTATTAATGTTACCTTTTTAGTGCTCTTTCTTGGATCGGAGTAGGCAGTCTCTTCTATGTCAACGATGCCCTTTACATCTGATTGGTAATGGAATTTTTCTTACTGCTAATTAACAATTATCCATGAGGGAAGGCTTCCAACCCGTCGTTTAGTGCCTGTGATAGATCAATGGCAAGCTCTTGAGGAGTAGATTGCGTTGGTGCATATTGTAGTTGCGAAAGTTGATAAAATAAGTAGTAATTTTAATGTGTATTCACATTGAACGGAGGGCGAGAGTGCCCGTTTTCGTTGGAATAGAAACCCTTTTATGTAGTGATAGGCGGAAGAATTTCATGTCCTGGGTTCGGTGATGTAATGGTTGCGCACCCGGCCACGAAACGGGAGGCTTGGGTGCTAGTCCCAGTCTTCCCGGGATTTTTTTTCGTCCTGTCCCAGCACCCTCCCCTACCTTCGGTCCTCATGACATATGCCCCAAAGAAATACTCAACCCTCAAACTTTTTCACGCACTGATTTTGCATTTTTGTCACATACTAACTAAACTCAGAGAGAACAGGAAGAGGGCACATCAAGCGATCCGCATTCCTTCTATGTTTGACCGAACGAGCGAGAAAGTCAGCGTAATTTGGGGGGTGACGGAGCAGTTGGATTAAAAAATTATCGTGGTCAAAGGCCGCGACCCTTTCCTAACCCAAATGACCCATTGGTTCTCAAAACAGACTGACTTTCTCGTTGTTTGGCCTTTGACCGAACTGGAGGAAAATTTTTTTTAAGATTTAGACAAGACAAAGATTTAGACTAGAGTCCCAGGCAGTAATCGGCACCCAAAATAAACTTCTCTAACTCTATGCTTGGGCGTCTGTGTGTGTCCAATAGTGTATAAAGGAGGAGCCTCCCTTATGACGCGAGGCACTGCACCCTTCCCTGTTGCGGCCGCCATCTTGCTGAAATCCTACGAGGAGGGAGTTCATAGCAGACACATGGAGACGGGTAGGGCGAAAGAGGCAAATTTCCCCGAGTAAACGCCTGGGGGCCTCCACGTCGGGACCCAACCAATCATGCTATTCATTCCCACGTGGAAGACTTCACCATGATAGCGGAAGCACTTGTAATGACAGCGAAGGCCTCTCCAGAGACATCTACATAAACTCTATGGTGTATTATCCGCATTCATGTGCGAATGTGCAGCGCCTTCTGCCTGCCTCCGGGTATACGCCTCCCTCTTTTGGGCTAGCACTATTCGCTTCCTACCCTTAGCGACTGTCATATCTCGCAGGACGCAGTGAGACCGGGGGGGGTTCGGATGGTATTAAGAGGAAGAGATAAAAACTTGAGGGAGGGAAGCGAACCCGGAATCTCCTGATTGCCAGTCAGGCGCGCTACCATTACACCACCGAACCCCCGCCGTCCAGTCGTATGCCTCCGTGCAATCCTTAACACTACTAGGGGAGAGACATTCTACGCACACCCCTGCTCCCTACTCCCTACTTAGGGGGGCCCGATACGGACTTTTCCGCAGGGACGTGTAAAACGTTCCCGCGTATTACATTTGGTGTCCCCTTTCATCCCCGGAGGAAGGATTATTTCCTGGCGAGGATGAAATTTCCGCCCATATATAACTTATATTTATATATCGTGATCCTGAGCCCTTTATCGATCGGAACCCCGTCCTCGTATCGATCGGCATTCTCACAAGGAGAGTGACTCCTGAGGGAGAAAAAGGCAGGACTGTATGGAACAGGAGCGCTTACCCTTGGATTAGAAATATGACGTCGGTCGCGTCGTAACCATCCCGTTTCCCTATCCATATTTTTCACTCCGGCCCACGTGAAAAANTGGAGATGGACTTGACGGATGATACGCACAGGGTCGCGATCGATACCTGATAAGAGGGCCCCTCATTGAAAGGCCCTATCGTCATATGTCATATGTACAAAGCCTGCAGGTCTAATTTTTGATCCGTGAGTATCCTCATTACCCGATCATGTGAATGAACCGAAGGAGGCGAATGCGAACGGAGACAAAGAAAAATAAAGCGCCCTTATTCCATAATAGACATTTGAAATCCCTGGATTCCCGGC